AAAATAATAATTCTCATTACTGTAATGCAAAGTTGTTTATAATAATAAAAATTTGGTGTAAAGTATTCATACATCATGGTTGTGTTGATTGAATTACTCTTGAGAATTACCATTGAGAATAATAGGAATTACCAAAAAACAAAACAAAAAAAAGTTTTTCTTTTTTTGAAAATGTGACCTTGACATGTTTTTGTGAGGTTCATCCTGTGGTATTTTATGGTCAGAAATCAGAGCAACTTTTTGGGAATATTTTGCCCGGATATGATCAATATTTGAAACGCGTCACAATTCCAGCTCTGTTTCTGTTTTGTTGGGATGTGAGATTGTTTAGAAAATTATTTTGTTCTAAACTGAATGCAAGTTGGTTCTTCTGTTGCCTTTTTTCTTTCCATGTGATATTTGTTTATGAAAAGTCTTCGATTTAATAAATATGAACTTTTGTCTTTGTAAAACTGTCTTTGGTTTTCTCTCCGTCTTCTGGCTCTCATACGGACACAGGCCCTGTGTGTGCCTTTTTATGATGTTGCTAAGCAACAGCTGTTAGCGATGGCACTTTGGGCTGCTCCACCTTTGATCCACACATCACATCAGACAACTGCTCTTCCTTTCATCCCTCCATCTCTCCCTCTGCTCTCATCCCATAGTTTCATTTCGCCTCCCTCTATTCTCTGTCCTCTGATCTGGGCCTGTGGAAATATGCACACCATGGACACACACCGAACCAAACCTATGGAAGAAGAGTCAGGTGATGGATGCTAAGAAAGAGCGTTTAAATATAATAATGCAAAATGTGAAAATCTTTGTGCTTTGTGTAGAGTTTTTTGTAGGATTATCATACAGTTTATAGTACAGGGAGTGTTTTATACTTCACTGACGTACTTTTATAGTTTTTATATTTTGAATATGCTTTTTTTATATATTGTTTTCATTTTGATTTTAATTTTACTTATATTTTAGTAATATATATGAATGTATACTGTAAGTGTGTATTGTTATTTAGGTCTATTAATTTTTTATTTCAATTTCGGATTCAGTTATTTTAGTACATCAAGTTCAAATGTTTTAAAGTTTTAATTTCATTGAAATAATTTTATAGTTTTTATAATTTTTTATATATTCAATTTTTATTTTCATTTTAGTTCGTTTCAGTAACATACATTGACCTGTATAGTAGTATATAGTATTTATTTGAATATTTGTATAGTATTTTATTTTTCAGGTACATCAAATTAAACTAAATGAAAATAAATAATTTTTACTTTGAAAAAAAAAAGTAAAAGACATTTTTACTTTGCACTGAGAAGATGATTCAATATGATGAAACAAGAAGTGGGGGGTTACTTTGACTTTTTTAATACTTTAGTACAATTTAAAGTTTTTTTTTGTTTTTTTGTACTTTTACTCAAGTATGTTTTGGGCCAGATACTTTTAACTGAGAAAAAGTTTCACTGAGTGTAAAATAAATTTTTACTTTGCACTGAGAAGATTATTCAATATGATGAAACAAGAAGTGGGGGGTTACTTTTACTTTTTTAATACTTTAGTACAATTTAAAGTTTTTTTTGTTTGTTTTTTTGTACTTTTACTCAAGTATGTTTTGGGCCAGATACTTTTAACTGAGAAAAAGTTTCACTGAGTATCTGTACTTTTACTTGAGTATATTTTTTGAGTACTTTTTACACCTCTGATCAAGTTAGACTAAATAACAATAAGAAATTATATGAAAATAAGAAATTTATGTTAAGTGACGTTTTGTATGTTACCCTTTTGCATTTTCGCTGAATTAAAAAAAAAAAAAAAAGTTTTGTGCTTCATATTTGTTTTACTGTTTAAATGTTTCGGGAAAAGCCTATAAAATCCAGTTTAAAATGTGATAAGTGACCCCACACTGAGTCACAAAATGGCCTATTGGGGCCAACATGTGTTAAATAACCAGTATTTTTATTCCTGGACAACAACAGTGGAAATATTAAATATACGTACAATATATTCTATGTTTACTTTATAACACAATAAAAATTTGAATCCACTCCGTCCGTTGGGAACATGAAAAGGAGCCATGTTTTGTTTCGATATCGAGAAATCACAACTCGTCGCGGCTTCATAAGTGTCAATCATTCTCACATCTGTCCGCCTGGCCAATGGGGTGGCGCGGTGGGCGGGCTCAGTCAGGGGGGCGGAGTCAGTGTTGATGGCCACGGAAAGCGCAGCTGCACGAACGATCTCGCCGAAGCTGCATCCGTGTTTTCCCGCCGCGATTCCCCCTGCGAGCGCCGCTCACGGAACACCCCGGCGGGGAGGCGGAGGAGCGGAGGAGCGGCGAAGAGCCAGGCCAGGAAAGGACGCCCGAGTCCGGTTTGATGCTGGCGGCCCGTCCGCCCTTTAAACGCGGATGCTGCTGCATTCATAAGGGGTCGCCGTTTATCAGAGAAGCCATCGGACGCGTCAACGTCCCCCGTTTTCACATTCAGAGCCGATCGGTGGACGCCAATCGCACCAACGGACCGCGAGAGCCGAAGCGCGACAGGCGCGGCAGCATCCCTATTTGCATGCAAGTTACATTACATTACACAAGTTACATTATCGTTTCAAAATGTAACTGTATTATCGCCCAGCTCCTAATATACATTTGGATATACAAGTGAGTTCAACTTCATCTGTTAGGGATGTAACGATTAACCGCGAGCCGGTTGAAAATCGATTAACGCCACAAAATGTGAAGTATCATCGCCCAGCTGTAATCTGCCAAATGCGACTATAAGGCATGAAGATATTAAGATACTATAAACATGAACATCATGATTTTCTTTAAAGCTGCGTTGAAACAATGTGAATTGTGAAAACGAATATGAGTAAATTTGACTTGTGACTTTACGCAAAACGTTTAACTCCCATAAGGAAAACACAAGCACAGGGAGTTTAGCGCAATCCTTCCCGCTGGCCTGCTGTGATGCTGGGGGCTTGTTGTGCAACTCCCTTGAAATTTGTCTTTCTTTTTGCTTGCCTTGTATTTTTTCTGCACTGAAAATGTGGGGAAATGTGCGGAGTGGATTTGAAAATGCTGAAATGAATGGAGCTGAGTTACTGCGTGCGCTTTTATTGGAAGCTGAAGCCATAATGAAATCAACCAAAACATTGAAAACATTGAACGTTTTGCACTGCTGAGTTTGGCATGTTATCATGTCTAACCCTGTAATGCCTGACATATGGAATAATAGTCAGGAATCTGTTGAAACTCTAGATAAAATATGAAAAAAATATGTGTTTTTGTTGAGTATTATATTTGATCCATCAGGCCATTATGGTTCATATAGTATGATACAGTGAGAATATGGAGGAAGTCTTATTCAAAAATACAAAAATGTTCAATTTGGTGTAGTTCCTGATATTTATATGGTCAAAAAGTAAGATAAAAGGCTGATAGCTTGTAATGTAAATCGATGAGATTTGTATTACAGTATAACTTCGCTAAAATGGTATAAATATCAGCTGTCACTCTATATCTACCAATAATGTCTCATTAAGATCATATTTAAATGCTTAGTTTTCTGATCAAAACATAATGCAATGCAATACAGTGATGATTGAGAGATGAACAAAGAAACATTCCTCAAAAGCCTGATGATCATATTTGATTGATGCTCACATTTGAACATTTTTTTCTAAAATATTATGTCTGGATAATCAGGTAAAGCTAAGCTGCTTCAGTAAGTGTTCATCTTGAAATATCAAAAGCAATATCAAAGTTATTCTAATGTTTACTTTATACAAATCAGAAAAGATTTCACAGCAAAAATGCCCATTAATCACAACCTTAGTTGCTAAAAAGAAGGCATGTAGTGGATTGTGTACAACAGGTTTCAGCCATGTTTTTATCACGTCGATCATTTAGTGGCCTCAGAAAATCAAATATGCCGTTTCTGCATGTAAAGTTGAGTTAATGTGCTTTATGTCTCTTCCCACAGTCAAAGAGTTTTTGGCCTTCGCCAGAGAAGATTTCCTCAGGAAATGGGAGAATCCTGCACAGGTAAGAGGACTCGAGAAGAGGGATGCACGTTAAATTCGAGTCAAGAAAGAGAAAATAGAAGGGAGGATTTAGGGCTTCATTTGAAACCGATCTCAGAGCTGGTTCATCAAGTTTACCAGTACAAGAAATGCTAAATGAGTCATTTAAAGCAGGTTTGTATGCTCTCAGGTGCACTTTGAAAATTACAATATAATTATTATATGGTCAGTGGTGTTTGCTGTGGCCATTTGAACAAACCCAGAAGATCATAAACTCTTTCGACGTTTGTCAACACAATCTCAAAGTTGGCTTTTATTAAGCAAATCAAGCACTGAATCACTCACACACTGCTTTAAAACAGATTCAAATTAAATGCACAACAGACATTTACAGTTAACTAAAACTAAAACCATAAAATACATATTTGCCACTTGAAATAAATAAAATATAAAAAGTAAACGTATTTTTAATTGCAGCTAGTTTTGAGTACAGCATTTATCATTTTCATTTAGTTTAACTTGATGTACCAAAATAGTTAAAGCTGCAATAAAAATTAATAAAAACAATAGACATATTTAACTAACTTTTTTAATTGCCAGCCAGCCACTTCCAGCATTTTTGATCATTTTCATTAAAACACGGAAAGCCGGAAAATTCTCAGTGGTGGGGAAAGAGTTAAAAATGACAAAAACTAAGAAAATGACACAAACAAACTGCAAAATTACGAAAACTTTTTTTTTCTAAAATTGACAAAATGAAAACTATAAAACTATAAAAATAAAATCTAATTCAAAATATTGTCAAAAATTATAATTTCTGTCAGTCTTGGGGTTAACGCATTATAAGTAATGTGAGTTACGTAATCAGATTACTTTTTTCAAGTAACTAGTAAAGTAACGCATTACTTTTTAATTTACAAGAGAATATCTGAGTTACTTTTTCAAATAAGTAACGCAAGTTACTTTTTTTTTCCAATTTATTAATGATACAATAACAATACTGTTCGAAAGCATAGCAATGTAATGAAAAGCCACTTGTAACATTTTGAAACTGCACAGCAAGCATGACAAATGTGACTTTTGATCACAAAACCAGTCATAAGGGTCAATTTTTTGAAATTGAGATTCATACATCTGAAAGCCGAATAAATGAGCTTTCCATTGATGTATGGTTTGTTAGGATAGGACAATATTTGGCCGAGATACAACTATTTGAAAATCTGGAATCTGAGGGTGCAAAAAAATCTAAATATTGAGAAAATCATCTTTAAAGTTGTCCAAATGAAGTTCTTAGCATTGCATATTAACAACTATTTGAAAATCTGAAATCTGAGGGTGCAAAAAAATCTGAAGTTCTTAGCAATGCATATTACTAATCAAAAATTAAGTTTTGATATATCTACAGTAGGAAACTTAATAAATATCTTCATGGAACATGATCTTTACTTAATATCCTAATGATTTTTGGCATAAAAGAAAAATCGATAATTTTGACCCATACAATGTATTGTTGGCTATTGCTACAAATATACCCCAGCGACTTAAGACCGCTTTTGTGCTCCAGGGTCAGAAATGTGAATGTAGCTGCGTGTTTTAAATCACAGAACACAGCGAGTCTGGAGGACTTCGACCGGCTGAAGACTCTGGGCACGGGCTCATTCGGTCGTGTGATGCTGGTCAGACACCGAGAGAGCGGGCAGCACTACGCCATGAAGATCCTTAACAAACAGAAGGTGGGCGGGGCTAATGCCTGAGCCGTGACATCACAGTGAGACACGGCGATGATGTCATGATGTCCTTTCATCGCTTCTCCTCAGGTTGTGAAGCTGAAGCAGATTGAGCACACTCTCAACGAGAAGCGGATACTGCAGGCCGTCAGCTTCCCCTTCTTAGTGCGGCTGGAATACTCCTTCAAGGTGAATACTGCGTGAAATATCAATAGCTGGAGGACGATGTGCCGCATGTAAAGGACGTGTTTGATAACGCGTGTTTGTTTTAGGACAACACTAATCTCTACATGGTGATGCAGTACGTCCAGGGAGGAGAGATGTTTTCACACCTGCGTAGAATCGGCAGATTCAGGTGAATATATTTACATTCCAGATGTGCTTTATTAGTGCCTGAGGGAAAACACAGTGTGCACAGTAACATACACGGCACAAATACTATATACTGTATATACACACACACCTTAAATTTGAAACCAGCTGTAAATTATTTGCTTTAGACTTACATTTACTACAGTGTTGGGTGTAATGCATTACTTAGTAATTAATAACTAACATAATTTCTTTTCACTTGAAAAAGTAAGGGCAGGAAAGGAAACCAGCGCGCCAGCCGCGCCGTTATTTGTCGGGTATGTTCAAGTAAGCTAGATATGCGCAGAAACTGCGCAATAAGGCTGTATTTAATATATCATGATGACTCACTAGTTCAGTATTTGTGCTAAATCTGCACAGATTTGGCTTAAATGAACTTGCCCAAGAAATTATGTGTGAACATAATTAAAAACAAGTTCAAAAGAAAAATCCCCCACTTGTTTTTTTGTTAAAATGTAAGTTTTGTAACTATACACATACTCTGCCAGTTAAAGGTTTTGGCACATCTACTAATTCTTCATTCTGACTGTTTTTCAAGTTTTAGAATAATAGTAAAGTCATTAAAATCAGGGACATCGTGAGACCATTTTAATAATAAAATATTACTGATAAATCCTTGTGTGTCAATGGGATTGACGTATATCGACCTGAGAATCTTTTCTCTGATAGCATTTCAGCACTAGTGATAGAGTTGAGAACGAATCACTCTTTTGATCTATTCGGTTAAATGTGATTCATTTAGATTTATTCGGACAGTTCACTCACACACTGGATCGTTTCTCAGACCGCAAGTAACCAGATCTTTTATAATTTATTGCATTTATTGCTTTATTGCACACACAGCTTGTGAACAACAGGTTACATCCATTTTTATCCAAAACATTATTTTAAAAAATAATAAAATATGGGCTTTTTTGATGGGTGGACTGTGACCCAGTACTGTTGAAACGATAGAAACATAGGAACTATATGCAGGAATGATTTTGTAATGAAAACATATGATTTAAATGGAAACTATAATCTAGATTCCAGCTCTGTTAACTTGCTATTTACACTCGCTTTTTATATAATAGAAGAGTTCACATGTATGATGGACATGCTTTTCCTTCACTGTCTGGTTCAATTCTTTCATCCAATATCACAATTTTTTCAGGCAGAAGCATTTAAATCAAAACGTTTTATTATCCATAAACATAAAGTCAGTCAAATGTGTGTGAACGTCTGGCTTGTAACTACAAAAGACTAAATGCAATGAAATAATAATAAAAAAGGCTGTATATACTTGTTTTATAAAACGGATAGTTCCGGTCCTTGATTCTGATTGGTTGAGCCGCGTTCGAAGCTGTTGTAAATTACTCTACAAACACACACCTTTGTTTACTTCTGTCTGTTGCTCGGCAACCACTTTGTTGCAACCACAACTGATTCTGAGGAACTACATTGTTTGGTGGAAGAATACTGTTTTTATTAATATCATTACACTTTATTTGCTCTGTTTTATTTTGTGAAACCTAACTACGTATATGGAATAACCGTTTTATAAAAGCAATAAGCCCCGTGAAGCCGTGGTTTACAGTGAATTTATAACAGCTAAGGGGGTTTTAGGCACGACGCGAACAACGCCCCTTAGCTGTTATAAATTCACTGTAACCCACGGCTTCTTGGGGCTTATTGCTTTATTTTTGTGTGCCACAGATTGAATCTTTTTGCATGTGTGTAAATGTCAAAAAAAGCCAACAAAAAAACTGATGTCAATTTTTTGTTTGTTTGTTTATTTTATTTTACGTATGTATGCATGTATGCATTTATTTATTTATTTTTGAGTTTTAGGCCACTTTAAAATGTGATTCTAAATGCACAGTTTGATCATCTGGACATCTGACCATTCTTACAGTATATGTACTTTAGCCGATATGCATTTTTTAAAATTCACATAAGAAATCGACATAGAAATGAGACAGTAGTAATAATAAGAATAATAACAGGTCGCCCCAGCAGTCTGCATATTTGTGCTTGTATTTTTCGGCTCATTTTCGTCTAGCTAAGTACACAGGACACAAAACAAGCACTGGGTTTAGAGAAGCGAAAGATGACTTCCGTTTCAGCAGCAGTGAAATCCAGAGCTGTTTGTCCTGAAAGCTGTGTGTTAATGCACATAATGTGAGACTGTGGTTTCATCTCGGTTGTGTAAAGCGGCTCGGTGCTTAATATTTATTCGTTGGTGTACTGAAATTAACCACTTAGCAGCATCAACATGTACAGTTGCATTTAAAAATGTATGAATGTTGTTTCATTAGATAACAACAAAATATCAAAGCGAGTTTTTAAGCTTCAGTTTTCTTCATCATTTTCGTATCTGCTCTGCTTTCGAACCTCGCAAACGTCTTTTTGATGAATAGTGAAAAGCGTGTTTGTGCTGTTTCTGTACACATTTGCATGGATCTGTTTTATTAGTTTAGCCCTGCTCTAATAAGTTATGTGCTGTTGTTTTCAACAACTTTCTTGTAACTGTATCTTTTCTCTTTGTTTCTCTTGCTGTCTTTCTCTCATGTAGTGAACCCCATGCGCGGTTTTATGCTTCACAGATAGTTTTGACATTTGAATATCTGCATGCCCTCGACCTGATCTACAGAGACCTTAAACCAGAGAACCTCCTCATCGATCAGCAGGGCTATATACAGGTAAGAAACGCATACAAATACATTACATACAGTTACATTCAAATACATCATGCTTAGTGCATGAGCCGTTTGAAATAGAAACAACACTTACTGATATGACTACCTGCAGGTAAGACACCTTAGCACGCATTGTTGCTCACTCGATTCAATTTTGACTTTTTTTAAGTTAAAGTGCACAATGTGCACAAGTATTTTTTTAAGCTGTTCGTGTGGCCTTTTAAATATTGCTGATATCAGACATGTTATGACATGTCTGAATGGTCATCACAACTACATATAATCATATAATGTTTAGTTATTAAATGCACTTTGGTTTTCCAGTCTTAAATTTCTGAATTAGCATTAATAAACAATTAATTCATACCAATTAGTAACATTCGAACTTCTATCATCAATATTTGTCTTAAACAAATTTTTTTTTTTTTCTGTAAAACTTAATACAGTGCAATTTGTACAATATTTTATGATCCACGTCGAGGGTAAATCAAGCACAAATGACAACTGTTGGGTTAGATGAACAGAAACTTATCAGACCTCATTTAATATAAATAATATAAAGGCCTTTGGACTCTTTTAAGGCTTGAATTTCTCTATTAGCATTAATCAGCAATTAATTAGCATAGCATGATTAATAACATACTAAGGAACATTTGAACTTTTGTTGTGACATTAATAACGTCTATATGAATTTAAACCGATATTTTTTGCACCTTTGTAATACTTTGGTAAATATCTTACAAATGATGATAAATGTTGTGTTAGATGAACAGAAACATATCATAACATTGCTGTCACAATTAGTCACAATTAGTGACTAATTGTCACAATTAGTGCGTTAACGCAGGCGATTCGTTTTTTTCCAGTTTAATGGTGTTAAAAATATTTAACGTAGGGGCGGAGCTAGGGTTGGCCACCCCACTCACAACTGCTGCTTCTGTCTCTTTTTTTTCTTCACAAGAATTGCGTTTATTTAAACGTAGAACGTTCTTACAACCACATCAAACAGGAGATTTTTAGACGCGCACTCCACATAATTAGTGCTGTCACAATTAGTGCGTTAACGCAGGCGATTCGTTTTTTTCCAGTTTAATGGTGTTAAAAATATTTAACGTAGGGGCGGAGCTAGGGTTGGCCACCCCACTCACAACTGCTGCTTCTGTCTCTTTTTTTTCTTCACAAGAATTGCGTTTATTTAAACGTAGAACGTTCTTACAACCACATCAAACAGGAGATTTTTAGACGCGCACTCCACTTCACGAGTCAAATGAGTGTGGAAACGGTGCAGGTGACGAGGAGCTTCAGTAGAACATCAGTGAACTGCGGGTCAGATGAGATGTTTGTCAGGCCATAATTCAGTAAAAACGAATTTACCTGTCCTGTGCTCTTCAATTGCATGCACAAATGTGGCAGTGTGCGCTGTAGCCTGTATCATTTCATATTAAAGCGCGAATAAAACTACGAGCATGCGTGTCAGATCTGCATCACGTTCAGCAGTGGCAGCTCTTAAAGTTATAGCAGCCAAAATAACCCGCTGCTGTGATTTCTGTTAATCAAAGAACAAAAGAAAAAGAGGAAATCAATCACTTTTGTAGCTTTAAGGATTCATCTATATTTGTGACCCTGGAGCACAAAAGCAGTCTTAAGTCGCTGGGGTATATTTGTAGCAATAGCCAAAAATACATTGTATGGGTCAAAATTATTGAATATGCATTGCTAAGAACTTCATTTGGACAACTTTAAAGATGATTTTCTCAATATTTAGATTTTTTTGCACTCTCAGATTCCAGATTTTCAAATAGTTGTATCTCGGCCAAATATTGTCCTATCCTAACAAACCATACATCAATGGAAAGATTATTTATTCAGCTTTAGACTGGTTTTGTGGTCCACATTTAATTTAGAATTTAGCGTTTGATAATTTTATTCAATTTCTGAATAATCAATTTCCTACTTGCTGATGGGGACAGGTATATATTATAATGGGTTTATGTGAAGATTGTTTTAAGTTCACTTAAATTAAAAGTTATTTTTTAAAGTCTAATAAATGTTAAAATTGATAGCTCTCAATTATACTGTAATGTTGAATGGCTATAGTCAATGGTTAAATATTAGGGGAAAAAATTATTTCCGAGAGACATCAGTAGTATTGTTATCAGTGATTCTCACCTTCAGTCATAGAAAAGATGCCATTAGACAAATATTAAAAATATATTGTCTTTGTTGTTTCTAAGTAACAGTACTAAGTACAATATCATGTAATATATTAGAATATTTAGTTTGGAGCTCCTGTCTTAAATTAGCATTAATTAGCATACAGTATTAAATTAGCATTAATAGCTAATTGATTAACATTAAAATTAGTAACATTTGAACTTCTGTTGTTACTGTTTAAAGCAAATTTCAACATTTGTGGCCTGCTGTACATTAATATACATTTTAAACAAAATATTTACTTAATATAGTGCAATTTGAACAATATTTTACAATCATGTTGAGGGTAAATCAAGCACAAATGATGTCACGTTGTGTCAGATGAAACAGAAACATGTCAAATTAAGTGTAATTTTGCTATAACTCAACAAAAAAAAACTGATTTGGGTCCCATTCATTTGCAATGTAAAATGTAGCTAAAAGTGTGTCTGTGATGTAAGCAGCTCCATGGATGCTATATTCTCATCATTACTGCCCCCTCATGGCTAATTTGATAATGACATCATGAGATGTTTCTGGCACGAAGCACGCATGTTCTGTGCATCACAGCATCATCTGCGGGACCTTTGTTTCAGGTGACAGACTTTGGCTTCGCGAAGCGGGTCAAGGGTCGCACATGGACATTGTGCGGCACCCCGGAGTATCTGGCCCCAGAGAGTAATTTTGCTATAACTCAACACAAAAAAAAAACAGATTTGGGTCCCATTCATTTGCAATGTAAAATGTAGCTAAAAGTGTGTCTGTGATGTAAGCAGCTCCATGGATGCTATATTCTCATCATTACTGCCCCCTCATGGCTAATTTGATAATGACATCATGAGATGTTTCTGGCACGAAGCACGCATGTTCTGTGCATCACAGCATCATCTGCGGGACCTTTGTTTCAGGTGACAGACTTTGGCTTCGCGAAGCGGGTCAAGGGTCGCACATGGACATTGTGCGGCACCCCGGAGTATCTGGCCCCAGAGATCATCCTCAGCAAGGTGAGCCATGCTGTCAGACTGAGACACGTCTACAATGAATGCAGCTAAACGACAGCAGTCCCAGATGATGCAACGTGCTTTCAGCTGCACAGATGCTTTTTGTGCTGCACAGCTACTCTAAATATAAAATAGACTACCAGTTGAAAGTCTGAAATAATTATAATTTTTTTTTCCATGTTTTTGAAAGAAGTCTATTCTGCTCATCAATTCTACGTTTATTTGATTAGAAATACAAGAAAAACTGTAATATTGTGAAATATTTTTACAATCTAAAATAACTGTTCTCTGTTTGAATATATGTTAAAATATAATTTATTCCTGTGACCAAAGCTGAATTTTCAGCATCATTACTCCAGTCTTCAGTGTCACATGACATGACATTCATAGTTTTTATGTAACATTATAAATGTCTTTACTGTCACTTTTGATCAATCTAATGCATTCATGTTAATTAAAAGAATTAATTTATGTCTTTTTTTACTTGCACCAAACTTTTGATTGGTGGTGTTTCACGATTTCCACAAAAAAAAAGAAAAGAAAAAGAAAGTCAAATATGAAAAATTCTGTGCCAATTGAGTAAAATAAAATAAAAAACTAAAGCAGCACAACTGTTTTCAACATTGATAATAATCAGAAATGTGTCTTGAGCAGCAAATCAGCATATTAGAATGATTTCTGAAGGATCATGTGACTCTGAAGACTAGAGTAATGATGCTGAAAATTCAGCTTTGATCACAGAAATAAATTACATTTTACAATATATTCACATAGAAAACAGCTGTTTTAAATTGTAGCACTATTACTGTTTTACACTGTATTCTTGAACAAATAAATACAACCTCAGTGAAGCTGAAGAAATCATAAAAAAATATTTCAAAGTCTTGACCGGTAGAGCATAAAAATTGCTTGTTATTAATTTTATCTGTATCACACTAAACCTTTTCTGATCTTTTGCCTATTAATGCAAATCTTGTTTCTTGACATAAATATACGCAGTTGTAGCTCAATTTGCTCCATTCATGAAACATGCACGTTTGTGAGGGCTTAATATTCTCTTCAACTCATCCTGATGTGTTTCTCTCGTAGGGTTATAATAAGGCTGTGGACTGGTGGGCTCTGGGTGTGCTGATGTACGAGATGGCTGCCGGTTATCCTCCGTTTTTTGCCGATCAGCCCATTCAGATCTACGAAAAGATTGTCTCAGGAAAGGTAATTTTGCCAGGAAATTACAAAACTCTAGCCTTTAGACTGAAAATGACTCAAATGTCTCTGTGACATCGGAGATTCTTGTCTTCAGCCCACCGCAGTTTACGTGAGTTTAATTTAGCTTGGCTTAAACCCGGTTTTAAGCGCGGTCTTTTCACAGGTACGGTTCCCGTCACACTTCAGCTCCGACCTGAAGGACCTGTTGAGAAACCTGCTGCAGGTGGATCTCACCAAACGCTACGGCAACCTTAAAAACGGCGTTAACGACATCAAAGGACACAAGTGGTTCTCAACTACTGACTGGATAGCCATTTACCAGCGGAGGGTGAGAAACGCACACAGTCCCTTCTGATGCATTCAGTGCTTTCGCACCCAAAGCTCAATCAGTAAGGCTTGTATCTCATATTATACTGGATGTCATTTAGTATTATCACTAGCAGTGCTGGGGGTTACAAGTAGCGCACAAGTACAAGTAGCGCGAGTTATGTAATCAGATTACTTTTTTCAAGTAACTTTTAAAGTACTAAAAGTACTAAATTAACAAGAAAGTATCTGAGTTATGTTGTGGAGAAAAGTCTTCACTGTCTTGCAAAATAATGCTAAATTCAACTTTATTGCAAGAAGACAACAAAGCCGAGATGCCTGCAGAACATCTGAGTCTTTGTCTAGGAGACCATCTTTATTCAATTGCGTTATCTGTTGCTGTCCGATGAAGTTACTTTGTTTTCCCATTTATTGACCGACAGTGTTGAGAGAAATCGGGAGTAAGTGCAGAGGCCCTTCCTTCAGCCTGAGGCTTGTTCATTTCACTTTTGGTGTGAAAGGGCCTTTATAGTTGCTTTATCATTTACAGTTGTGTTATTAAAAATAAACAAGCAAGCCTAGCCCAGGTGGCACTAAGTAACGCCAAAGTAACGTAATGCATTTCTTTCCAAAAAAAAAGTAACTAAGTAATGCATTTAGTTACTTTTTAATGGAGTAACGCAATCTTGTAATGCTAAAAGTAATAATATATAATAATATATTAATGTCATACTTAAAAATAATAATTGTCTTGAGTATCAATAAGAATAAGAGTACGGTTTAAAGCAAATATCAACATTTGTGAACTACTTTACATTAATATACATCAGTATCTATTCTAAACACATATTTTCACTCCTTTTTCTTCAATAATCAATGGAAAATATTTTATCTCAAGGGTAAATCAAGCCTAAATTATGACAAATGTTGTATTGGATCAACAGAAACGTATCATATTCATTGTGACCTCATAATACAATTTAATATCATTAACATAATCTAATATCTATAACATTGAGTTACCGTGTAAAATTAATATGGAGAATTTTGGACTCTTAAATTTAATATACATCAGTATCTATTCTAAACACATTTTCACTCCTTTTTCTTCAATAATCAATGGAAAATATTTTATCTCAAGGGTAAATCAAGCCTAAATTATGACAAATGTTGTATTGGATCAACAGAAACGTATCATATTCATTGTGACCTCATAATACAATTTAATATCATTAACATAATCTAATATCTATAACATTGAGTTACCGTGTAAAATTAATATGGAGAATTTTGGACTCTTAAATTTCTGAATTAGTATTAAAATTAACATAATCTAATATCTATAACTGAGTTACCGTGTAAAATTAATATGGAGAATTTTGGACTCTTAAATTTCTGAATTAGTATTAATATCTAATTAATTAGCATGATCAATAACATAATTTGAACTTCCTTCCTAAATTTTAAAGGCAAATACCAACATTTGTGATCTACTTCACATACATCGGCATGCATTTTTAAAAAATACGTTTTGCATCATGTAATACTTTATATAAGGCAATTAGGAAAATATTTGACGATCCATGTTGAGGGTTAATCGATCACAAATTATGACAAAGATGAGCAAAAACATGTCAAATTCAGTGCAATTGTGCTGTAATTTAAACACAGATCTGCATCACACACAAGGGGACTGATATGATCATTGTCATATTTTAAGAATGCAAATGAAGAAATAAAATATTGATATTGGTGAGTTCTTAAAAATGGAAAAGGTAGCATTTCATACTCCGATGTAAACTGTCATGTGAAAAAAAAAAACATATTAAGTAATAATAAAAAAATATGTTGATGTTATCTCTTCTTCTTTGCATTTTCTCAGGTGGAGGCCCCGTTTGTGCCTAAATGCAGAGGTCCCGGGGACACCAGCAACTTCGACGACTACGAGGAAGAAGAGATCCGTGTGTCGTTCACGGAGAAGTGTGCGAAAGAATTTGCCGAGTTCTAGGGACACAAGGGGACTGATATGATCATTGTCATATTTTAAGAATGCAAATGAAGAAATAAAATATTGATATTGGTGAGTTCTTAAAAATGGAAAAGGTAGCATTTCATACTCAGATGTAAACTGTCATGTGAAAAAAAAAAACATATTAAGTAATAATAAAAAAATATGTTGATGTTATCTCTTCTTCTTTGCATTTTCTCAGGTGGAGGCCCCGTTTGTGCCTAAATGCAGAGGTCCCGGGGACACCAGCAACTTCGACGACTACGAGGAAGAAGAGATCCGTGTGTCGTTCACGGAGAAGTGTGCGAAAGAATTTGCCGAGTTCTAGGGGAATAAGTGATAGAAATCAGAGAGAGAGAGAGGAATATAGGTGGAGAGAAAGAGAGAAGGAGAAAAAGTGCATGAATCTTAAAACCGATCCGTCCTCCTGTTAAACAGCAGAGAAACCAGCGGAAGAGAGCAGAGAAGACCTCCAGGGATCAACAGTGAGGCCTTTATCATCTCCTCTATTTTAATCATGTTTGTAATTTTCTCTTTTTTTTTTTAAATCTCTGTTCATGTGATATTAATCATGATGGATTTGATTGGGTGTAATTGTTGGCCTGTGGACTGGGATTGATGTTGCCGCACAAAGACAGACGGGGTTAGTTATCGTCTATTCAGAGATTATCTCTAATCTGGAGCAGTTACCGCTAAAGTGCAAGTTCTCCACTAGGTCACCATAACAACCGTACAGAAAAATAGAAAAAGAATGCAAAAAAAAATTTTGTATTCCTGTGTAATAACCGAAATATTTTTGGTCCTGTATACTGTCATGTGTTTCTTTATTCTTAAAAAATACACTGAAGGGATGACAAAGTGAAAATGGCACAGAAAAGAAGCCATGATTTTTTTTTTCTTCTTCTTTCAGCTGTAGGTGCACCGCGCTCTGTAAAAATTCACTGATGAACTTTGAACTTTCACCTGTGAAATGTGCCATGAAATCCTACAAGTGTCAATATTTTGACTCGTCAGTTGTTTCATTGATTATGCGATGACGGGGCCCACAGCCTTCGTGCGGAGGAGGGGATGAATGTTTTTGTTTCGTTTGTTTAGTATTGTTAATATTATAATTGTTACGGTTCTCATTGGGTTATACATTTCTAAAGCCTGACGAAATTGCACACACTTTGTGCGCGATTGACGCGGCGAGCCGCCGCATGGCTCTCTCCGTTTTCGCCATTTCTTCCCCCTTTATTCTTCCATTTCTGCGTTTTTAAATAGGCAAAGTCTTCTCTCTTAATGGGTGCAGTGCGTCTGGATCCTTTTTGGGTGAGAATTTCTTACACACAACTCTCTAGGCTACAAATATCTCCTAAGCTGGAGGTGAACTCAGTGGATACCAGTGCTTACTCCTGAGGACATGGTTCAAGTTAATTGTGATATTTTGCACCACAAGAATCATTCCAATAAAGTATTACTATAAATACCAAACAGGTTCTACGTCCCTTTATATGTGTAATAGTGGAAACACCTAACATTGTATTGAGGTCTTAAGCTTCTGTCCTATTTGGCACGCTGTCTAACTGTATGAGCACTGTGGGATCGATCACCTTTAATGAAGACTATTTCACACCCACTGCTCCAGAACCTCCAAAACAAGTTGAGTAAGCCATGAGAGTGTTTGTATTATGATCGTGTAAGATAGCTTTGTGTTTCTTAACCATTTATTATAAAATAAAACTAGACTCATCCAGTTTAGTATCGACCAGCGAGCCGTCTGTCATCCAACCATTAAACACAGATGCGTTTTAAACTGTTATTTAATTTAGCATCGAGACAGCATATGAAAAATCTGTTGCGTTAGAAGTAACGGACTGCAGCGCGAGCGTGAACAAAAGCCCGTCGACGAGGTGCGCAAAACGTGCAACTCCGCAATACCACCTTAAATAAGCGCGGAGCGCAGCGGATGGTTCTCTTCGGAAAATAGTCCACCTTAAGCGCACATAGTGGGTAAACGCAGGCGTAGAGCGAGGCTTCCGCTTCATTCCCAGCCGGGCTCGGAGCGGATCACTTCGGAGACGAGAGAGAGGCGCTCGGCCAAAGCCAACGGAACCAGTGCTGCAACATGTCGGAGCCGAAATACCGAGAATGGATCCTGGAAACCATCGACTCCCTGCGCTCGAGAAAAGCCCGACCGGACCTGGAAAGAATCTGCCGAATGGTCCGAAGAAGATATGGCTCAGACCCGGACAAAACCAGGGCTGAACTAGAAAAACTGATCCAAGAGCAAACTGTGCTGAAAGTTAGCTACAAGGGGTCCATTTCCTACAGGAACGCTGCTAAAGTGCAAAGGAAATGCAGAAAGAGAACGGAGCAAGCCAGCGGCAGCGGCGAGTCGCTCGGTGAGCACGGCAAACACGCCAGTTGCAATAACAACGGCGACAGCGCGCTCAGCCTCACGGACCAAGAAGAGTGCGAGGATAAGGAGCCAGAGGCACGCGGGGCGAGCCCGTGTCCTGATCCCCTGCCTCAAACCTCGCCCTCCACTCTTGAAAAGGAAGAGCAGATTTTACCACTACCTAGCGGAAACAGTTTTGTTAGTTGTGGCGCAACGGGCCACTCCGCCGGGAGCGTGAAAGCAAGTGCATCGAAAGACGAGGGCTTAGTCGCTGAGGCGGGGGCAAGCGGCTCCTCTGCCCACCGCGATGCTGCTTCAAGTGCAAACCGACGGGCTGAAGGAGACGTGACGCTCGGCCACGAGGGCAGCGATGATGATGGTGATGAGAAAGAAGAGAAAACTTGCTCAAGCGCCAGCAGTCCGCCTCCGAGAAACAAGCCCCCCGCGTCCGCCAAACCCAAACTCAAGGTGGGGGCAAAGGGCTCCGGGGCGCGTTGCCCGGACTCTCCGGATGAGAGCAGCGCTGATCTGGGCGACAGGCTGGTTGCTGCGGTCCGAAGTCTGTACGAGAGACACCGGGGCTCCGCCGCAACACGGGGCCACGCGCCGCCGGGGCTCAAAGATTTCCTCGACTACCTCAGCACGCAGCGAGGGATGCCCGGGGAGAAGCTGACCCGCAACCGCGTTAAAGTGGTGCTGGAGCGCGAGATCGAGAGGGGTCGTCTCCGCAGGACCCGCCTCGGCCACATCACTCCTGCCGCGCGGGGGATGGGGGCGGCCAAGCCGTCCGCGCGTCTCCTGAAGAGCGCACTGCAGGACAGACATCTCGCGAAAATGGTAACTTAATATTTCCGACACGTCCTGTGCAGCGCGCAGCGCTACGCCCCGTCTCCATATAAATAAATGATCGTGCTTTGAGAAAAGCGAAAGAAAAAAAGCGCAGGACAAAAAAAAAACCGCCCCGCGCCATCCGATTTCCGCTCTTTTTCTCGCGTGCAACTGTGCGCCAGAACACCTAAACTGTGTGTGTCTGCGGCAAACAGCGTGTTTTTGTGCTTGTTCTGAGGTCGTGTTCTGTGCAAACGGTGGGAGAAGCGACACCTCGATTGTGTGTTCCGCTAGACACGCAACTGTCTGCGTGCCCTGTTTCACTTCAGCGTCTCGGCACGAAAGGTGCGGACTCGCTCGGCAGAGCCCGCGTGCGTGCGAGACACCGTCGCTTCTCTTGTTACACAAAAGCGCGCTCGTCGAGAATCAGACGCGGACCGTGTGCTGAAAAACATTGATGTCTGCATGAACTGCGCGACATCGCTATTAGGATTTCACAGGCAGGGCCGACGATTATTGTTGCGTTACAAGTTGTGCTGGATATTTTTCACTAGGCGGTGTCTGTTAAGTTAGACGCGCACGGAAAATGTAAAAGGGAGGGAGGGGGGACCCGAGGCTCGCGTCTGTTTTCTCGGGCGAGCCGTCGCTCTGTGCAGTACTTCGGTCATACGAGGTAAAAGCAGTTGCGATGGCGGAAATTCGCTGCATGACGAGCCAAAGCGGAGCGGAGCGCACCCTGCGCTTGCAGCTCAAGCCTCTTAGTTCCGTTCCGTGCGGCTCATCCAGTCAGTTTGAGCGATGAGCGTTCATCGTGTTGCCTTCTTTTTTCTTTTGCGCTGTTATCCTCTCTGCGTTGATCAGATTTCTCAAGCACTGTCCCGCTCTCTTACAGACTGTGGTCGAATTGATTATGAACCCCACTGAGTTACTTAGAAGGATACGTGGTCAAATCGCTGTTCTAATCTAATCGAAATCACTGGCAAGAGAATCTGCGGCGGATGTTTGGGCAGTTTGTGTTGTTCTAAGGAAAAACCGCAATTTGTAAAATCCTGCAGACGACGGAGGTCATGCACAAAAAAGGGCCGCTATTTGGCCTTTTCAAATATGCGGGCGTCGAGTCAGTAGTTTTTTCCTTTTCTTTTCTTCTACGCAGCTAATGTGATGTAAGGTACAGTCACGATTAAATCCATTCCAATCACTGAGATCTGTAAAATAAAGCGTTCAGTAATGCTCTATAATGACTACTGTTGGTTAAAAGTCCATTAGAGCTTTTTGAAACGGTGTCTCTACTCCCGCTTGTCAGGAGGAGGTGAAGAAAGAAGAAAGGATGGAGGTGGAGAGTGAGGAGCATGGCACAGAGGAAAACACAGTGGGCTCAGCGGAGGATGTTCCCAACACCATCACTGATGGAGGTCCGGCAGGTGTCGAAGCTTGCACTGACCTGACCTCACCTGACACGGAGGTCCAGAATGATAATGGCACTGACTCACCACAGACCTCTGAGGGGAAATCCCAGTCATCTTCATCTCTGGAGACCTCAAACCAGAGCTCCTTACAGCAGGAAGTAGACGTGGGAGGAAGTGAAGGTACTTGATTCACTGACTCCTTTCCTGTCCCTGTGTTGAGAGAAATTAGGAGTAAGTGCAGTGGCAGAGGCATTTTCTTCAGCCTGAGGCTTATTAATTTCACTCTTGGTGTGAAAGGGCCTTTACAGTCCCCAAAAATATAACTTTTGGGTTTTCTGTTATTAAAAATAAATAAGCAAGCCCAGCGCAGGTGGCGAAAAGTAACACAAAAGTAACACAATGCATTACTTTCCATACATAACAATATTGTAATGACGGTTTTTCAGCAATGTAAGAATATAGTGGGAATAAATTGTGAAATCTCACCATCTTCTTTTGTTTTACTCAGTTAAAACAGATCATCATTAAATGAAACTTGAACGATACAAGAATTTCTGACAATAATGATTTTTAATGATACACACAAATCTATGCTTTGATACGCTCCTTGCACTTTTGCTAATATTCACTGGTTCAGTGTTTAAGTGTGGGTTCCCTTTAAATTTGAGCTAGAATTTGAATTAAATAGGCCACACCTCACAGGAAGTTAAATCTGAGGGACAGGAAGTGGAATTTATTTATGCACAGCCCTGCTCCGATTGAAGTGTTGACCTAATACAGCCCTTATCAAAGATAATATTTTTAGAAGATTTTTTTGCTCAGGGACTGGCTTTTAATAAATTCAGACAATACTTTATCCAGAGGGGGGAGTCCTTCTGGATTATGGAGTAGAACTCTAAAATTGGCAGACACACCTGTGAGCAAGTCATTAAATATTTTATATGGAGGATGAAAGTATTATTATGAGTGCTTTTTGAGGGGTGTTTGTTCACACTGCACATAAATCAAATTTGTTTTTCATACCCAGGCTACGTGAAGAAAACAGTTGTTCGTTTGGACAGCCAATATCTGGTGCCACAGTAATAACTCCGCATGATACCTAGAGTTTCAGACTGAAATGTATTTCCAAAAATCCAATTTTAATCAAGTTTGTAAAAATCAGTCTGAACAATGCCAAAGCATTTAGAACATGACTTTGCCCAGATGGCATTACAGCTGAAGATGGCGAATTGTTTCTGTGCGAGATGCTTGGGAAGTGCATGTGGAAGGTATTTTTGAAGGCAGTAGGTGGATGTGAGCACAGGGTATCCACAGGTGCAGCATCAAGCAGTACTAGAGGTTTTAAGTTCTGTTTTGGCTTTTTCATGGAACATTTTTTTAAGTTTTATGTGGAAGCCAGGGAGAAAAAAAATATCCCACAACTTTTGCGCCACAATTAAAATAGTGTTCTCAAATGTATGCAACAAAACTTCTATTCCAAGTGCTGGAATTGAGTGCTTGAGTGTGTGTGATGTGGGATTTGTGCTGAAAGAATCTGTGTGAATACAGACATGGGCTCCCTGTAGATGTGTGACAAATGTCTATGTTTGAAGCTTGTGTCATGACAAGAAATGATGGCATTAAAATCTCTCTCTCTCTTACACACACACTTTCAGAGCAGACAATGTCTGTGGAGCCTGAGGATGCTGTAGCTGAGAAAAACGCAGATGCTCCTGATCAGCTACATCCCGACATTGAGGTAATGTGCAAAGTTTACCGAAGGTTTTAATATCAGGTATTTCTCCTATTCCAGTTTTATTGTGCAGAGACATGTAGTCCATTCATAGGTTGACTTCCTGAAGTGTGGATCTATCACAACATTGTTCTCAGTTTGTCTGAGTGGCCTGACATATCAATTGTTGGCTTAACGAATGAGTTCAACGGCAAACAAAAGGGTAATGGGAGTGTTTTAGATATCTATTTTGGAAAAAGTGTCTGAATATATTTGGTATATTTTTCACATTTACAATTCTGTCTTTTTCCCCTAGTCTTACTGCGTGCATCTCTTTTTATTTTTCTCCCTCTTTCTCCTTTAGGATCAGGTGATTGTGATGCCAGAGATCGTAAAGGCTCCATCATCAATACCTATAAGAAACTGTAAGTCCTTCGAACAAATTTAGGTTACTTTCTGATTGTGTTCATATCTTTATAAAACAATAGTACTGTTTATACAGTTTTTTTATTAAGAGACTTTAAAAGACCTTACAGACCCCAAAATGTTGAAAGGTAGTGTTGTGTCATTCTGTGTGTGTGTGTATATATATATATATATATATATATATATATAGCAAACCAGACATGTGTGTGTGTGTGTGTATTTTTGTTTTATATAGCTGTGTGTGTTGTCTGCCTATCAGTTTCAGGCTGTAAGTTGGAAGTGGGAGTGTCGTCATGTCTGCTGACCCCCTCTGCCTCACCAGGAGCGGCTGAAGAGCGAGGGATGAATGAAGGAATGTGAGTACCACACAAACAAAACAGCAGAGTGAGAGAGAGACAGGGTAGCGCAGAGAGAAAAGGCTTTGTTTGGGGGAGAAAAAAAACAAGAAAAGTCTCTGTAAAACACCTACTGACCTTCTAACAGGAATCGCCAGAAGTGAGTCGTAATGAAAGAAATGAAAACTGAAGATTGAGGGTTGTCTTTGAGTCATGATATTAAATGTTCTTTTGTGTCTCCAGCGTACCTTTGAATTTTTTTATATGAATAAATACTCATTCATGTTTTCGGTGCGGTCTCAGAGGTGGCTTTGTAAAGTTGGAGACGGGAGGCATGAGCCCGGTGGACTGGACTGTAGCAGACGTGGCCAGCTACTTCACCGCGGCTGGATTTCCAGAGCAGGCGCTCGCTTTCAGGACACAGGTGCGCTGAACTGTACTGCATGATCCTTGAAGAGTACAAACGCTACTTTACTGGACTTGAGACAGAAGTTATGCAGTAGATAGAAGGTATAACTGAATCTTTGTTCCTGACAGGAGATCGACGGGAAGTCCCTCCTTCTGATGCAAAGGAATGATGTGCTGACAGGCCTGTCAATCAGACTTGGTCCCGCCCTAAAGATCTATGAAAGACACGTGAAGGTTCTGCAGAGGACCCATTTCCAAGATGACGAAGCTTTCTGCTGATACACACACACACACACGCATATATATTAGCTATTGTACATGACAAAGTAACTCGCATGTATATACCAAACAATATTTACTCATCCCAGAACACGCATATTCCTGAAGACATTCAGTATGACTGTTCAGGACTTCCTGAACAGAAACAGTTCTTGTTTTCCTCACACACAAATGTATATATATATATTTTTAATCAGTAATCCCGCAGCTATTGGAAAGAACTTTGGCCTGAAAACACATGAGTAAAATGAACTGAACTAAGTAGAAGAATGGAGTAAGTTTGGGAAGACTGAAAAGAGAAAAAAAAAATATTTTTTAAGAAGTGTCAACCATTTTTTGAAATGACTGTGCAGTTCTGTGCAGTTAATGCTGCTCTGATGGATACCACTGTTTGAATTGTGACCCCGAATTCATTTCATCAAGTGGATTTTTTGTTTAGTACTTATTCAGTCCAGTAGGGAGCGGAACATCATTTTTTTGTGACCTCACTGGTTTCAAGATTGCTATTGAAACCAAACAAAGGCTGGAGGGTTTCCACTGCGCACAGAACGTTTTGTTAAAAATTTTCCTCCAATGTAAAAAATTTTTTAAAAAAGGGCAAAAAACTGTCTTGTTACAGTTTGAAAGAAGTACATTCTGATTGGATTTTTGTTCTTGACTTTTTAACACTTTTGCAATGACACTGAAACCCTTGTCTTCACTCAGTGATAGACTAAATGATTTCTTCCTGACATATTGAAATTATCTTGAATGTCTAATATTCCTTCCAGTTTTCTTGTCTCTTGCACCGTTATGTCAGAGAAAAAAAACAAACTATGCAGATCTTCTGCACACAATCAAGTGGGCACATCTCACAGAGGATCTCCCTTTAAAGTGACTTTGACTCCTTTAATCTCGGATTTGCCAGCCATGACATTGTGGCCCCACATGTGGAACATCACCATTGATAACTGAGCATAACTTTTGTAAATATCAATCAGTTTTTTTAAGGTGAAGTCCAAGTTGCGAAGCAATGACGATATTCCTTCACCAGCAGTTGAAGAATGTGTCTGAATGTCCTCAAATGCACAGAGAGCCCTGAAGCCATGCAGCTCTTGAACTTTACCGTTTGTAAAATATATATGTATCAGCCCATCAGATGAATATTGTGGGAACTGAGACAACAATTTGTGTAAAACAATCAAATAATAATGTAAGGGTCCATTTAACTAATTACAAGAAATGACTTGTGAGAGAAGGGATGTGGAAATTGGACACATTGAATTGCTAACATATTTGTTAACCTGCCCTTTAGCTCGTGTCTTTTGCGTCGTTAAACTGATCGCATATACAGATGGACCCATCACACTTGTAAATGGGACTGTTACCGATTCTGTCACTAAAGGCAGGTTCATTTGCATTGTAAAGAAACCAATAGGTCAGTCTGATTTCAGATTATAGACACCTTTGTTTTGCCTGACAATTGTAGCACGTCGAATTCTTCAAACTGTCCTGATTTATTTATTTCTTTGTATGTTTGTTTATAAATATTATCTTAATTTTTATGACGTTAACTAAATCTAAAGTAAAAGCTGGAGCTCATTGAAATGTTGATAATGCCTGCAGTTTCTCTGTTTATGCCTTCCATGATGAACCCCTTTTTACTTTGACTTATTAATGAAGTGGAATATCAACGAACCCCTAAAAATGAGTTTTCTGTGTTCTCAGCAAGTCTTTGCAATAAATACATTAACAGACTGCAAGAAAACAAGTATCACAAAGCAAAAGAAAGAACTAATTAATTAAAAACAAGAAGCTACAACTGTTGTTAGAGATATAATGTTCAAGGGTTTGCCAGCAGAAGGTGACATGGATACTGAAATGTTTGGTTTTTGGATCCGATTGTAAATGCCATCAGGGTAAAGGTTTGCCTACGGCCATAAGTTACAACATTAGACCAGCATCCATCTTGATGAATGTAGATGCTGGGAGTGACTTGAAAAGAGTTTGAGAAGAATAATGCATTGTCCAATCATTGTGTAAGTTATTGAATGTCCATGTTTCTCTTCATTTGTGCTCTTTCTAGTTCATACTCTGATTGAAATGAACAGCAATTTTTTCTGTATGTCTTTTTGCTAGGGCTGGGTAAAAAAATATCGATATCTCGATATTAATCGATTCTCATTTTTACGGAACGATATCGATTCTTAAATCCCAAGAATCGATTAGTCTAGCCTGTTTTCAATTAATGGACTGAACGTTGAAGGGCACTTCCCATCCAATATATCCAATAAGCGTTGTGCTTTGGTACTTTTAATATGAAACAGTCTCAGATTTAAAATTCTGTCCATTGTATTGCAATATTCAAACAATAAATGGCGTTTTGGCGCTGTTTAATGTGGAGTGACAGATCGCTGTAGCGCCTAGCGCTGAACTCGTCATCTTCTCCACATTAATACCAGCTTCAGCACAAAATAAACGACTAAACATCCGAAGGCAAGTTAAAAGAAAAGAGTACAACTTTACAATCCGTATTCTGTCTCATTGCTAAATATATGCACCATATAACACATTCATTATAAATTTTACTGTTCTTCAATGTTACATTTTTGTTAAAGTTTTTATGATGTTTATATTTCAAAAAAACAAATTGAAGTAGAACTATTATTATGTAATTGTAACTTTATTATTTTAAAAACTTCATTAAGTGTAATTTTAACAAATCAGTCAACTTTAACCTTCAATATTATAGTAATGTAGGACCAACTGACTCATGTATATTTTACAGCATTAGTTGAGAGATTTTTTTTCCTTGAGAAAATTTGGCATGTACTGTACCTGATATATATCCAAAATAATCGCTATTGAATCGAATCGAATCTCAAGCTTGTGAATGAGAATCGACTCGAATCGTGAAATTTGTGTCAAAATCCAGACCTACTTTTTGCCGTTTCTATTTATCTCAGTTGTTTTGTAACGAGAAAACGGAAAGCTTTTTGATTACTCGCATTAAAAAGGACATTCCAGATGACTGCATCAATGAACATTTATGAATCTTTAGACTGTTTGTGAATGTTTGTTAGAAGGAGGACAGGAATGTCTGGAATGAGCTAGGTGGGAAACGCAATGCCCGGGCGGGAAAGAGGGCAAACGCATTTGAAAACAATGGAAAACTGAAAAAGATTTATAAATACTCACAGTCTGTGTACATATGCATGTAACTTAGGTTGTCGTGTCAGAATCTTATTTATATGTGAGGGGATGGGTTTCAGACGTCCAGGGTGCCACACAAACACATTTTCTAGGCATGGAGCCTGCGGTCAGGGACAGCGTCACACTTTGTACAGCACTGCAATGAACTGAGGACTACAGACTAGAACTGGACTACAAACTTCTGACCTCTAGGATAAGGATAGGCTGATTTCTGATCATCTCTGTCCCAGAACAGGCTCTTTTCCTCAGTTAAACACCTCTAGCCTGATCTGCAATGCCCGCTGGAGCCTCAGAGTGAGTTTAACTGCTAAGCTTTGGGTTTGGGTGTGTGTGTGTGTTTGTTTAGATTGAATATGTAAGATTCTTCAAAAAAAAAGTTGTTAAAACCCTTGTAGTTAGTGTTTGTCTCTTTTTCATAAAATTCAGAATATTTATCATAACATGAAAAGTAATGAGTACGTGTTTGTCTGAGTAGTTTGATCTTAGCTGTAGACATAACTTTGCTCTAAAACAGACCCGTGTCACATCAAGAAACAGGAGACCAGACAGCAGTGTATGTATGTGGGTTTGTTTTCACACTAGTGCCACCAAGAACTGTTTTCATGTTTCATTCTCCTCATTAAAACTCAGTTACGATTATAAAATGGGTTTTAAACCTTGGTATGGCCCAACTTGAATGTGCATGAACTCTAAGTTCATTAGAAGGTAACTGTAAGCTAAAAATAAACATTATTTCTATATGTTACGTTTTATGCAATCTTGATGCTGTTTTAGTGTAAAATTCATATGCAGGCTATTATAAACTTTATAAGCAGTGATTTTCAATATCTCTGGAGCGTATATAAATATATTCTGAAGAAAGATGCCGCAAAACAAAAGCTGACTTGGCTTTTATGAAGAACCGTGCATGTACATCACTGTTTATTATTAATGTTGTGGAAAATTGGATTGTGCATTGATATAATGTGTGTGTGGGTGTGTGTGTTGAACAGTCCAAAGTCAGAGGATTTCTCCACTGCTATTCTGAAGCAGAAGATTCGACCAAATCGACTCATCGTGGACAAAGCTAACAATGAGGACAACAGCACTGTGTGCTTGTCACAGGTAATCTATCTATTTTTGTGTGTGCAAGTGATAGAGCGATGAAATTGCAGTGTGTAATTTATATCACTAGTTGCACCGAATTGCAAAAGTAATCATTGTTTCAAACAGGTTTCCCAAACATGTGCATGTAAATCCCTGCTTGAGTGTTACAGGTTAAAATGGAGGAACTGCAGTTGTTTCGGGGAGACACTGTGGTGTTACGCGGCCAGAAGTGGAGGCAGACAGTCTGCATCGTTCTCACAGACGACACGTGTGCGCATGAACAGGGTCACCCGCAACAACCTGCGCGTGCGTCTCGGTGATGTCATCAGGTGTGTGGTGATGACATAAGGTTTTACTGTTGTCTTACTTCCCAGCAAGATCATTAAACACATTTATTTAAAACTAGAGGCCTTATCTGCTGCTGATGGTGAAGCAAAACCACATCTACCGCAGTGCTCACTCATGTGCCTGTGTATATAGTATCCATGCTTGTCCAGATGTGAAATATGGGAAGCGCATCCATGTTCTACCCATTGATGACACTATCGAGAGGCTAACGGGCAACCTATATGAGGTTTTTCTAAAGCCATACTTCCTGGAGGCCTACCGACCTGTTCACAAAGGTGCACATGTTCATTCAGTGTGCTGAATATAAGGATATAGGAGTTCGGTTTTGCATTTGGGTTAGGTGTAGTGTTAAGAGTCTTTTTTGTTAGGTCTACATTGAAGTTTAGATACACTGGGATTTAACGTTTTTGGTAATTTTGTAAATCTTTAAAAAATATTTCAGCAGGGCACCCACACCTGGAAATTCTACACACATACAAAAAGTAAAGAAAACAATACCATTTTTGCGACCTGTTATTATTCTGCCCACTTTTTACCAAAGAGCTTAATCCATCAAAAAGGATTTTAATTATCAGGCAAGCAGGCACAGTTTTAATCAGCACCAATTATCTTGTCCAAATAATATGCCAGTAGAATACAATATAGTACTGCAACACACAGTGTTATTTTACTTTTATTTATATACTATTCTAGCATTTATTAACCTTTTTAATTAACATATTTTTCATTAGTTTTAGTCATTTTGTTGTCTTATGCCATTTTTATTAGTTTTACTTTGTGATTTTAGCACTTCAACTGCAGCTATTTTTTTTTTTTTCAGTTAGTTCCTAAGGCAACATCTCAATTTTTTAACTTGTCTAGACATTTGCATTTTTTACATTCATTTATAAATAAAGATTACTCACACACCCACTCACTGTCGTTCCTCAGCCTCCGAGGAATTCTGCTGTACAGTCC